GGTGTCGAAGCGCCGCTCCACCTCGCTGAACAAAACCTCAAATCCCTGGAATCCCAGCCCTCTCCAGGTACCCCAGGTGGAATCCCAGCCCTCTCCAGGTACCCCAGGTGGAATTCCAGCCCATTCCAGGTATCCCAGCCCATCCCAGGTGGAATTCCAGCCCTCTCCAGGTATCCCAGATGGAATCCCAGCCCATTCCAGGTATCCCAGGTGGAATCCCAGCCCATTCCAGGTATCCCAGATGGAATCCCAGCCATGTCCAGGTATCCCAGGTGGAATCCCAGCCCTCTCCAGGTATCCCAGGCGGAATCCCAGCCCTCTCCAGGTACCCCAGCCCATCCCAGATGGAATTCCAGCCCATCCCAGGTATCCCAGGTGGAATCCCATCCCTCTCCAGGTACCCCAGCCCATCCCAGGTGGAATTCCAGCTCATTCCAGGTATCCCAGATGGAATCCCAGCCCATTCCAGGTATCCCAGGTGGAATCCCAGCCCATTCCAGGTATCCCAGCCCCGTCCCAGTTGGAATTCCCGGGATTACCGGAGGGTGAAGGGCATGGTGTCGAAGCGCCGCTCCACCTCGCTGAACAAAACCTCAAATCCCTGGAATCCCAGCCCTCTCCAGGTATCCCAGGTGGAATTCCAGCCCACTCCAGGTATCCCAGGTGGAATCCCAGCCCACTCCAGGTATCCCAGCCCATCCCAGGTGGAATTCCAGCCCATCCCAGGTATCCCAGGTGGAATTCCAGCCCACTCCAGGTATCCCAGCCCCGTCCCAGGTGGAATTCCAGCCATGTCCAGGTATCCCAGATGGAATCCCAGCCCATTCCAGGTATCCCAGCCCCGTCCCAGGAATCCCAGCCCATCTCAGGTGGAATCCCAGCCCTCTCCAGGTATCCCAGGTGGAATCCCAGCCCTCTCCAGGTATCCCAGCCCATCCCAGGTGGAATTCCAGCCCTCTCCAGGTATCCCAGGTGGAATTCCAGCCATGTCCAGGTATCCCAGATGGAATCCCAGCCCATTCCAGGTATCCCAGCCCCGTCCCAGGTGGAATCCCAGCCCATTCCAGGTGGAATCCCAGCCCACTCCAGGTATCCCAGATGGAATCCCAGCCCTCTCCAGGTATTCCAGCCCTGTCCCAGTTGGAATTCCCGGGATTACCGGAGGGTGAAGGGCATGGTGTCGAAGCGCCGCTCCACCTCGCTGAACAAAACCTCAAATCCCTGGAATCCCAGCCCACTCCAGGTATCCCAGGTGGAATTCCAGCCCACTCCAGGTATCCCAGGTGGAATTCCAGCTCATTCCAGGTATCCCAGGTGGAATTCCAGCCCTCTCCAGGTATCCCAGGTGGAATCCCAGCCCTCTCCAGGTATCCCAGGTGGAATTCCAGCCCACCAGCCCTCCCAGGTACCCCAGCCCATCCCAGATGGAATTCCCGGGATTACCGGAGGGTGAAGGGCATGGTGTCGAAGCGCCGCTCCACCTCGCTGAACAAAACCTCAAATCCCTGGAATTCCAGCCCTCTCCAGGTACCCCAGGTGGAATCCCAGCCCTCTCCAGGTACCCCAGCCCATCCCAGATGGAATCCCAGCCCTCTCCAGGTACCCCAGGTGGAATTCCAGCCCACTCCAGGTATCCCAGGTGGAATTCCAGCCCATCCCAGGTATCCCAGATGGAATCCCAGCCCTCTCCAGGTATCCCAGCCCTCTCCAGGTATCCCAGCCCCATCCCAGGTGGAATTCCAGCCATGTCCAGGTATCCCAGATGGAATCCCAGCCCTCTCCAGGTATCCCAGCCCACTCCAGGTATCCCAGCCCCATCCCAGGTGGAATTCCCGGGATTACCGGAGGGTGAAGGGCATGGTGTCGAAGCGCCGCTCCACCTCGCTGAAGAAGGCGCGCGAGGTTTTCATCTTCAGCCCGTACTGCTTGGAGGGGTCCCGCTTGTAAATCGTGGTTCTCTGCCCCGCGTCCTTCGCCTGCAAAACATTCCCGGGGAATCCTCGGAATTCTGGAGCCACCCAGGCCGGGAATTCCCGGGATTTCTCGGGGGTGGAAGGCGGCTGACCTTCCCCTCGCCGCTGCTGACGAGGACGTCGACGGCGTAGACTTCGTGCACCTCGAATTCGGCTTTTTCGTGGTCCTTCCTGGGGGGAAAGGGGTCGGGAAGCGGGAAAATCTGGGAATTCTGAAGTTTCCAGGAAGTCCAAAGCATTCCTGGGAATTCAGAAGCTTCCAGGAAAGCCAAAACCTTCCAGGAGATTCAAAGCGTTCCTGGGAACCCAAAATGTTCATGGAAACCCGAAACGTTCCTGGGAACCCAAAATGTTCATGGGAACCCAAAATGTTCCTGGGAACCCAAAATGTTCATGGGAATCCCAAACGTTCCTGGAACCCAAAATGTTCCTGGGACCCAAAATGTTCATGGAAACCCAAAATGTTCCTGGGAACCCAAAATGTTCCTGGGAACCCAAAATGTTCCTGGGACCCAAAATGTTCCTGGGAACCCAAAACATTCCTGGAACCCAAAACGTTCCTGGAACCCAAAATGTTCCTGGGAACCCAAAATGTTCCTGGGAACCCAAAATGTTCCTGGGAACCCAAAACGTTCCTGGAACCCAAAACGTTCCTGGGAACCCAAAACATTCCTGGAACCCAAAATGTTCCTGGGAACCCAAAATGTTCCTGGGAACCCAAAATGTTCCTGGGAACCCAAAACGTTCCTGGGAACCCAAAATGTTCCTGGGAACCCAAAACGTTCCTGGGAACCCAAAATGTTCCTGGAACCCAAACATTCCTGGAACCCAAAACGTTCCTGGAACCCAAAACGTTCCTGGGAACCCAAAATGTTCCTGGGAACCCAAAACGTTCCTGGAACCCAAAACATTCCTGGGAACCCAAAATGTTCCTGGAACCCAAAATGTTCCTGGGAACCCAAAATGTTCCTGGAACCCAAAATGTTCCTGGAACCCAAAATGTTCCTGGAACCCAAAATGTTCCCGGGAACCCGAAACGTTCCTGGGAACCCAAAACGTTCCTGGAACCCAAAACGTTCCTGGAACCCAAAACGTTCCTGGAACCCAAACATTCCTGGGAACCCAAAACATTCCTGGAACCCAAAATGTTCCTGGGAACCCAAAATGTTCCTGGGAACCCAAAATGTTCCTGGGAACCCAAAACGTTCCTGGAACCCAAAACATTCCTGGGAACCCAAAACATTCCTGGAACCCAAAATGTTCCTGGAACCCAAAATGTTCCTGGAACCCAAAATGTTCCTGGGAACCCAAAACGTTCCTGGAACCCAAAACGTTCCTGGAAACCCAAACGTTCCTGGGAACCCCAAACGTTCCTGGGAACCCAAAACGTTCCTGGAACCCCAAACGTTCCTGGAAATCCCTCCTTCCCAAGAGCCCCATTTTCCTCCTGATCCCATTTCCTCAATCCCATTTTCCCCCATCCCATCTGATCCCATTCCCAATCCCATTCCCGTTCCCAATCCCATTTCCAGTCCTGTTCCCTGATCCTATTTCCCCTGATCCCATTTGACCCAACTTCCCGATCCTGATCCCGTTCCCAATCCCATTTCCTGATCCTGTTCCCCATTCCTGATCCCATTCCCAAATTCCAATCCTGTTCCCCTTCCCATTTCCTGATCCCATTCCCATTCCCCGATCCCTGATCCTGATCCCAATCCCATTCCCCATTCCCGATCCCATTCCCAACCCCGTTCTCATTTCCCTGATCCCATTCCCATTTCCCAATCCCCGATCCCATTCCCAATCCCCGATCCCATTCCCATTTCCTGATCCCGTTCCCCAATCCCAATCTCTGTTCCCGATCCCGTTCCCATTTCCCCGATCCCATTCCCGATCCTATTTCCCAATCCCTGATCCTGTTCCCCATTCTCGATCCCATTCCCAATCCCGATCCCATTTTCCTGTTCCCATTCCCAATCCCCGATCCCATTTTCCTGTTCCCATTCCCATTCTCGATCCCATTCCCAATCCCGATCCCATTTTCCTGTTCCCATTCCCTGTTCCCAATCTCATTCCCTGTTCCCAATCCCATTCCCTGTTCCCAATCCCATTCCCGATTTCCTGTTCCCGTTCCCATTCCCAATCCCATTCCCGATTTCCCAATCCCATTCCCGATTTCCCGTTCCCATTCCCGATTTCCCGATCCCGATTTCCCATTCCCGATCCCGATTTCCCATTCCCGATCCCGATTTCCCATTCCCATTCCCGATTTCCCGTTCCCGATTTCCCGATCCCGATTTCCCGATCCCGTTCCCATTCCCGATTTCCCATTCCCAATTTCCCATTCCCATTCCGGATTTCCCATTCCCGATTTCCCATTCCCATTCCCGATTTCCCATTCCCATTCCCGTTCCCATTCCCGATTTCCCAATCCCAATCCCAATCCCGATTTCCCATTCCCAATTTCCCGTTCCCGTTCCCGATTTCCCATTCCCGATTTCCCATTCCCGATCCCGATTTCCCGATTTCCCGTTCCCGATTTCCCGATCCCGTTCCCATTCCCGATTTCCCGATCCCGATTTCCCGCTCACTTCTGCTGGTCCGAGGGGTTTTGGATGATGGTTTTCTCCCCGTCGATCACGTGCTGCTTCAGCTGGTGCGACAGCATCCCTGCGGAACGCGCTTACTGGGACGGACTGGGGGGAACTGGGACGGACTGGGATGGGATTG